ACTTGAACAAAACAAAAAAATCGCTTTGATGTGTTTACTTTTTATCGAAAAACTTAATTGTCATTTCTTTCGCCAAAATGGTAACATCTTTTTTACTAACACTTGATAATAAAAATACCACAAATTTTAATTAATTTTTTTGTTTGGTTTTTTAGTCTTCTAGTATTCGAAGTGTTGATTGACCACATATTAAAAGTGATTTGTTGTTCAAATAAACAAACAATGAAAGACTAATCATGTTGGTCTGAATCAGTAATTGGAAATATTGTTCTGTTATAGAAAAAATCAACATAATATAGATTGACAATCAAGCTCACAAAAAATACTATAGAGAGGTGAAATCAATATACAATAGAATGACAAGACAATTTTCATCTTAGTGTTATTGTAAAAAATATGAGTTAAACAAAAAAAATAAAGCAAAAGTCCTATTATCTAGATAAGTCTTGAAATTATCAAATCTCTATCTTCTCGACTTAACAAGCTTTGGCTGTTAGAATGTTCTGGCTGTTAAGAACAACTGATTTTCTCTCTTTTTGTCGTCTCCGTTCTGGTGGACGTTGTTGAACTCGCCTCATTTAACTGAATCTCGCATCTTCGTTTCCAATTGGATTACGTTCTGGTCCGAACACAGGATGAGATATGTGCTCCACCATTGGAATCAAAACACATTTGTTTACATCCTCTTCTGCAACCGGAGACCCAAAAATTCCTGGATATGCCCGACACACAATTCTCGCCTTTTGTGGGACAACGATTGTCTCTTTTTTTTGATGGACAGTTTATGTCTGTCTTGTAAGTGATACCACATTGCCGAAAAGCAGAGACAACGTTTTGTCTATTTGTTGCCGCCTGAAATGCAGACAACATTGAGATGAGTCTATTCACAAGACAAATTCCTCTTTTCTCTCTTACCTTCTTTGTGATCGTTTCTCCTTCCACTTCATCTAATTCTTCCTTCTCCACCACTTCCTCCATATTAAGTTGTTCCTCAAATACATTTTCCGTGCTTTTATTTTCAATGTCATCTTCATCTTTGACTACTTGAGTCACATACTCACAGTACCGTCTTAGTTGGTTCTTACAAGAACCAAAGACACCCACGTCAAGAATTTGCGTCATATGGCTTGAGTGAGGAACAAGAAAGATCAACTCAATGTTATTTTCTTCGCATATTACTCTTAGGTCTTCGTTGACGTGACAACTGCATCCATCTATGATAAAAGCCGCTTTTTCATTAAAGTCACCGATTGTTTGAAGAAGTTCATTGCGTTTTTTGATTATGTAAGTTAGAACGACATCTCGAAACCACGCCAAAAATATGTCAGTGCTTATAAAGCCATTCTTCGTGTTGTATATTTTTATCGAAGAGTCGTCATATCCGTTGTCATATAATGCAACATTCACTGTTTTGTTTGGCACAACAGTTCCTGGAGTCAACACATCACCACTCAACGCTATGCATCCTATCAGTGTTGTTCTTCTCCCCGCTCTGCTTAGTCCAATTTTAAGTGTTCCGTGCATTCTTTGTTCTCCCTTGTTGATGTACACTTTCACGGCTTTTCTGTCTGCGAATGGTTGTGTTCCCATCTCATCTTCATTTAAAACAAATGCTGAATGAAGACCAAGTATTCTTTGTAGAGTAACATTGTAAAATTCTTTAATATCTTTTTCTTCCACTTTCACTCTGAAATTTTCGTCGGGTATTCCTAAAACGTATTCAAACAGTGTCAATCCCATTATGTATCTATGGAGATTTGATTTTGACACCATCATTTTCAATTCATTTGTGCAAAATTGGAATACATTAAGACTTGTTACTGCTAAACCGACTTTCCTGTGATCAAAAATGTATTTTACAATTGATTCGCGGTTGCTTCTAATTTCACTTGGCCTTCCCGGCTCAAGTACCATTTTGTGCACAATCGCGGGAAATTTCATCTTTTCTTTCGAAAGAGTATGTTTGCCGATGTTGAACAATTCACAAACCGTGTTTTCCCAAAGTTTTAGGGATTTGCACACCTGCTATAAAAACCATTTTTTATTTTAAAGTTTGCACCAAAAAAAACATTTGTTATTGATTCCGCGATATTGTGAAAAATGAAAGAAAGGTGCATCGAAAGGGTTTTTGTTTTATAGAAAAAGAATCTTTTTATAAAATCGACCGTCTTCTTTGTTCACTATTTGAAACTTATGGTTTGAAAATGAATCAACTTGTGATTTTCGTGTTGTTTTTAAAAACTAGTTTTTAATATTATTTTTTACCAAAAAAAACTATTGAGATTGTCCAAAAAATAAAAAATGTACAAAGAAAAAACAAAAAAAAAATTTAAAAGAGTTGCGCCATGAAGAAAAAAAAATAGTTTTATTTTTAGGATTCCTTGTTTTTTTACTCAGTCACCCCATTTTTGCAAAAGTTGCACAGGTTTTGTCTAAAACTGTATATATTATTTATGTAAAATTTATTTTTTTTCTGGTTATAGTTGTTTTTAATTAATAAATTTATAATTGATAGTTGTTCTATTTCAAGCAGCTAACAAATTCTATAATTTACTATATTAATATACCATAATTTACTATAACAATTATAATAAACCTCTAAACTACAAATTTATAATTTTCATATAATTAATTTTACTAATAATTTTAAGGAATAATTCATAAACATAACTTGATATCCAAAAATAAAAAGGTATCGTGTTTGAGCATACATACAGACCGACAAAACTCAAGGAATAATCAAAAAATACTAAAGTACTATTTTAATTATTTAATTATATTATTTTTCAAATGAATATAAAATAGTAAAAATTAATAACAAATTAATTTATATTACAACACAATACAAATTGACTTTAAATTGAAGTTTACATATTGAACGGCGTTTCATATGTAAACTTTAGAAATTTCATACAAATTTCATATTAATTTAGAAAATTTAATTGAATTCATTTTCTAAACTGCTTAAGTTCTTATGATAATAAGTAATCTTCTCAACTAATATGAAATATAGCAAAAAAACAATAAAAAATATTCTATGATTACAAGGTTTATTACACTAATTATATTAAGTGTTATTGATAAATTAATTATTTATAACTTTAACTTATAATTTTATTAAAATAAATCAAGCATGAAATGAGTGTAACATGTTATGATTATAAAAAACTGGAAATGGAAGTATTATAATTTAATTTAATTTAACTAATCTTGGTAGTAAATTATGCAAATTAAATACAATTCAGTGTTATTGATGTTTTTTCTCAAATTAACATTACCAAATAATTTTTAGTCTAATCAAAATTTTTCAAATTTTATGAGGGGGTCATAAAATCTAATATCGAGCTTCCAACAGCTTAAACATCGAGCTAAATTCGGGAATATTAGGACAGTTTTTTCAATATTTACATTTTTTGATTCTCAATATTCAGTCTTTTTTTCTAAGACTGCTTAAAATAAATATGTTTGATTATTTCTAGATTCTTATCTTGTAAGATTATATTTTTTTCACGGTTTTTATACATTATAATATCACATTTAAATCGTATTTAAAAGATTTTCTAAATATCGTGTTATTACAAACTATTAAAAGCTGTGATAATAATTATTATAAATTAATAATAACAATTTAAAATAATAAAAAGTGAAAAAAGAGAGATGACCATTTATTTATAAATATTTGAAACTTTCCTTTCCCACCCGTTTACCAAAAAAAATATTACCGCGATTGTTTTTTGAAGGGAGTCCACTTTTCAGCCACTGTTTGTGCGTCCCCATGTCACCCACTTTTCCTGTCCGTACTGTGTGGACGCGGATGTGGTTCCCCCCCCCCCCGCTTGCGGGGGGGGGGTCAGGGGGGATCCGCGCCAAGGGAGGACTTGGAAAGTGGGTGAAACGGTGCACAAACAGACTGTTTGAGTGCGGCCTTATGAGCCTTCTTTTCAATGCTCCGTCTCACTCGGTTTCCACTAACTCGAGGTGATTTTTCGGCATTTCGTCTAAATATAGAATTCGTTTACTATTTTTAATAATATTTTAATTATAATTATAGTAAATAGGAAACTGGGAAAATATTAGGTCTGGTTCCCGAATTCAAAAAATGCCGAAAAATTCACCTCAAGTCAGTGGAAAACGAGTGAGACGGAGCATTGAAAAGAAGGCTCATAAGGCCGCACTCAAACAGTCTGTTTGTGCACCGTTTCACCCACTTTCCAAGTCCTCCCTTGGCGCGGATCCCCCCTGACCCCCCCCCCCCCGCAAGCGGGGGGGGGGGAACCACATCCGCGTCCACACAGTACGGACAGGAAAAGTGGGTGACATGGGGACGCACAAACAGTGGCTGAAAAGTGGACTCCCTTCAAAAACACTCGCGGCAAATAATTTTTTTGGTAAAGGTGGTGGTCAATGTAAGTCCCGTTACCAGACTGACTTTATGAAAAAAAATGGAGGGATGAGACGGAGGAGCATCCCATAAATATAATTAACCAAATAATAAATTAATATTTGGTCGAAAATTGTTGTTGTAGACCCGATAATTATTTATCGGGGTTTAAAGTGCTTGTAGTAATATATTTTTCATAGTTGAGAAGTAACTTAAATACCTTATAGTTAGTTAACTATATACCCAGTTAATTAACCCACCATAAAATAGCTAACTGAACTATCGATGACTAACGTAACTATATTTTAGAATTATATAATTATTTTTTATTTCAATAATCAAAGGTTCATTATATTAATAAAAATAACTTTATGAATAACTACAAAACTTATTAAAAAAACCAAATTAAACAAAAACTATAATTAAATTTTGATATGAATAACTAATTATTATAACATTTTAATTATATTATTTATTTACAACAATTGCTATTATTAAGTTTATGTTTTCCTGTGGTCTAACCAAATAAAGATGTATTTAATTAGAATGTCTTTCATCAAACTCTTCATCACCATCTGCTATTGCGGTAATGTCATTATCTTCAAGAAAGTCATGTATTCTGGCTCTAATTGAAGGAGGGAGAGGAATTGTGAAAAGATCCATATTTTCTGGTGAAGTAACAAGTGCTCTATGAAACAAGTAAAAATGAATGTTGCGAAGTGGATGTTTGGATATTTTATAATTAAGAATGGCATGCGCAAAGATAGTGTAGTATTCATAATAAGAAAGATTCATTGTCCATTGGCATTTCATCATTTTAAAAGTGCTCACCAGTCTTCCAAATACATTTTCAACTATTATTCTACAAGAAGAGTGAACATTGTTATATTCATCCAAATACTGTTTTGTTCTGTTGTGTATTGTATGTTGGGATTTTCTCTTCGTGGAATGACACAACAGTCACACGAAGAATATCCTCCATCTGCCAAAAGTAATTGCCCAGCTTTAACACACGTTTCCATAAAGTAAATTTTGAATACACTTGCGTCGTTCATCGCGCATTGAATCGTGTTATCACACCGACTGCCATTCCAAAATAGTTAACAACCAACTCCGTTTTCAAACCAGAGTGATTACTCTTGGAGGAAAAGAATCTTTTGTCGACCGAATGAGTTCTCAAACTTATTTCATTCTGAGGATGATTTACAGTCTGATCTCTTCCATCAACTGCATAATAAATATTATTTAATTCGGGGATGTAAGTTGTATAACCAGAATTTCTCCCAAACGCGAAGTTGATAGTTGTACCAGCACAATTTTTTTATTGAATCAATAAAAATTTTGCAAGAAGTTTTGGCAAATAATAAAAGTGCACAATCAAGCCACTTGGAAATATTTGCTTTCCTTCCACTTTTTTCTTCAATGGAATCAAGTGAATGATGACTTTGTGAAATTAAATCGATTTTTAAACAATTGAAAAGTTCCAAAGAATCACAGTTACTTTTCATTTTTGTGAGAAGAAGAAGTAACACGTCTTATGGGTTAAGGTGGTATCTCTTATCATAAGAACATAAATGTGTATTCATGGAACTTCCAAAAAAAATTACCGATAACATTATACGAGCTTGGTATAACATCACAATTAACAACAAAAATAGCGGTGTCACAAGAGAGTAATTCGTAAACTTCTTCAAATTCGGCAATTGAAAGGCCTGTAAAATTCTTGCAGTCTAAATAGGTATGAATATTAATTGAGCATAATGTTGGTTTCTCGGGTGTAATTATAGCAGGAATTGGCACAGTAATAAAAGACCGATCGATGGTAGTTTCAGAAATACGAGATAAAAAATCATCAGTCGATTCTTGACTATGTGGTATAACCAAAGTGGCCATTTGCATTGCTTCATGACGAGCTTGATTAATAGCAGTGTTTTGTGTTCTTCTTTGTGCAAGTGTGGGTGGTCTTGTTCTTTGAGGTTCTCTTCTTCTGGTAGATACACTTTGGATATTTGAAACTGACCTTCGGCGTCGTGTTGAAGATGTATGTATTAAACTGTTGTCATTATTAGTAGTTTGTTGTGTTGGTTCTTGATTAATATTTAATTCATTTGATTGTAAAATAAATTTTGTGTTGTTGTCTGGTTTTCCAAAGTACTTGTTTGTTGATTATTTGTAATTCGTGACATTTGTGGATAATTCTGAATATTACTTAAATTTGTAAGTGTTGTATTTTGATTATTGTTTTGATTACTTGTTGTTAAAAGTGGTTGTGTTACAATTTGAACACTGTTTGTGTTGTTTGTGTGTTGAGTGGTTGTAGTAAGTTGTGGGTTGCGATTGTTTGGCGTTTGTTGTATACTTGGTGCACGATGTGTAACATTCACAGTTTGGCGGGGTAGTAATGGTCTTAAATGAAAACGTAAAGAAGAGGTTGACCTGCGTTGTTGGCCATTTTCATTAATTTGTGAGGTGTGATTCGACATCAAATTTTTTTATGTTTTTATGTTTTTTGTTTTTTATTCTTGTTAAAAATGATGATTATTACATTATTTATATTTTTGTCGATTTGTTTTTCAAATTGAATTGCTATATTAAAAGGTTTTTAATCTATAAAAATTATTATTCAATTTTAAATTTAACAATTTTTTAAATAGAAAACCATAATAAATCTATATATTTATTATAATTGGGTTAACTAAAATATAGTTACGTTAGTCATCTATAGTTCAGTTAGCTATTGGCTATTAACTCATTTTTTTACTTTTAACTCACTTGTTTTGAATAAACTCACTTCTAATTATTTAACTCATTTTTAAAAATATAACTCACCAAAAAACAATTTATTATCTTAATAGTTAATAATTTAATAAATCAAAAAAATGTTTAAATAATAAAATTTTGGTTTTCTTTTATATTTCTATTTAACTATACAAATAAAAAAACAACTTGACCAATTAATCAAAATTGCCATTAGTAAAAACGTTAAAACATAAGAACGAATTCGAACCAGTAATGATAAAAAAATACAATTTAAGCATTTTTAATAACTTGTTATTCATGTCAAAGCCAACGTTGAGAATGGTTTATAGACCACCATTAAAAACACTGACACCTCGTCGATTAATAACAAGGACACAACCAACACAGTCACAGTCACAACTGCTATCACAGCCACAGCCACAGTCACTATCACAACTGCAGACACTGCAACCAACACAGTCACAACCACTGCAATTATCACAGCCACAGACACCACAACCAACACAGTCACAGTCACAACTGCTATCACAGCCACAGTCACTGCCACTATCACAACTGCAGACACTACAACCAACAGAGTCACAACAAAATTTACCAATCCAATTGTCGTTTAATATTAATGATGTTGAAAGACCAACTAGAATAACGGAATCACAATTTTTCATTAACACGACATTAAATGACGGAGAAACAGTTTATCAGCCAAAGGCAGATATTGTTAGCTCTCAAATTGCTTCACATTTAATGGAAGAATGTTTCTCATTTAATTGTATTGATTTCGGTAGCGAAAATTCAATTACTTCATCTTTTTCTGATGAAAAAAATGTTTGGGAACGCCAGTTTAATTTACATACTTGCAAGTTTCTTACTGGTTTTGAACTTGAAGAACTTGTTAACCTATTTGATATCATTGTTAGCAATGCCACGTTTACAAAAGAAAACACGTTCAAACAAAAAGGAGTGATTGATCAAACGCTTTTTAAACAACACAAAAAGTCGAAACTTGCATATCATGAACAATTTGTGTTGATGTTGACATTTTTCCATACAAAAACGACACATGTTGAATTATATGAACTCCTTTATGGTATGGATACAACAAAAAATAAAAACACGAAAATAAAATTTATTTCAGATAATTTAACTAAAGCCATAATTAAATTTCATCCAAAAATATACAAATCTTTGATATTATCAGTTCAAAATATACCAGAAACTCAATTAGAACACGTCGCTGTAAGAAAAAATCCATTATATTTAAAAATAGAACCCAAATTAAAAAACACATACTATATTGTGGATGGTAGAGACCAACCAATACCGACTCAACGTGTCTCCAAAGTTATTCAAAAAGACTATTACTCATTTAAAAGTAATTCGAGTTCAATGAGAACACAAGTTTTTGTCAACAGAAATGGTTTTGCAGTCCACGTACAAGAGTCCACACCCGCATCAGTACACGACTCGACTTCTGTAAAACAGGATTTGTTAAATGTTTTGTTTTATGGAAACAAATTGTTTCTTGGTGATGGGGGATACGCTGGATGTTGCAAGTGTGTTTACCCAATTACAACTTCATCCAAGAAAAAAACATACAGTTTCGATGCAACCACGTTATTGAAGGTAGAAGGTTTACAAGAAAAATTACAAGGAAGATTTTCTGGTTTGATTGTCCAAGGTGTGTTTACTGGCAAATTTGAGAGTACCTCTGGTTTGAATAAAGTGTGTTTTTCCAAATGTGTATTTAAAACAAACTACAACATTGATGACAACAATGAATTTTCGTTTGTCAATAATGGTGTTGTAAAGAAAGGGTCGCTTAATGGAATCTCTCAATTCAATAACACCAAATTTAAAAGACAATTATTGAAGGTTTATCATGGTAAAGTCTTACTTGAACTTAGAAACTCGTTTATTTCGAGTTGTAGAATTGTGGTTGAAAATCACTTTGCTCGTTTGGTCACCTGTTTTCCAAGAATGGATGCAGTTTGGAACAATAATTTAACCCTTTACAAACTCTCAGTTCAAATTTGTCATGGTCTAACAAACTATTTAATTTCTTTAAAACCTTTGAGAGACCCCATTGGTGATGAAACAAAATTGCCAAAAACGGCAAAGAAATGTCTCCAAATTTTGAATAGAGTTGAAGAAATAAACTATTCAACTGAAAGTGATGATTGTTTCCTTTTTGATGAAAGTGAAATCATTTGATTCTTAGTTTCACTTTTAGAAAAACAAAGTAAATAAATATTTATGTTATATTAGAACATTTAAAAAAGATGAATTAAATTTGTAAATTTATAACTTTTCAGTAGTAAATAATTTTTTGATGAAATTTTCTTTTTTGAACAGGTCAAGTTTATGTTGTTTTTTACCAAAAGAAAAAATTGTGTACCATTAATTGTATTTCATATTTTTATTTTTTTAAAATTGTGGTTCTTTATAGTTTATTTTTTTACTATATAATTATAATTATTTTTATAGAATTTAAACTATAAATATAGTTCATTTGGTTTTCTCTCATTTTCTTTTAATTA